GCTGTCTGCTGCCACTCTTACCAGCCACAGGTCGTCCCCACCAGCCGTTCTGCTGTCTGCCCGCACCCTCAGGTCGTCCCCGCCAGCTGCTCTGCTGTCCGCCTGCACCCACCGGTCGTCCCGGCAAACCGCTCTGCTGTCCGCCTGTGCTTGCTGATTGTCCCTTGCAAGCTGCTCTGCTAGTAGCCCAGCAGCTTAGCACCAGGCTCCCTTCAGCAACAGTAATTTCAGCTCGTCCGCAGTATAGCGCCAGGCACCTGGCTCCCCACAGTGATTTCAGCTCAGAACAGAGGAGCCTCAGCACTAGTGCTCCACTGGTCCACAGTGAAGTTAACTCCACAACTAGACTCCTAATGGAATCCAAATTAATTCTGATATTCCACATTGGAGAGAGGCAGGGGTACAATCAGTGTTGTTTAGGCCCTCAGACAGCACCCCACCACCAGGCACAAAGACCTGTCACCAGCCTCTGTCAATTTGACTTGGTTTGGAACCCATGCCCCTTGTCTAGCGAGTGCTACTTAGTTTATGGCAAATCCCTCTGTCATAAATAGTTCCACCATTCCATTGTCCTTGATTTGCGTAATTAGGGTAACAACACTTTTATCCCCCCTGCCTCAATAACAGAGAGACTGGAGATCCCACAGTGGCCAAAGTGATCATTTGGGCTGCTGTGAGCGCATACTAGACAGGGTGGGTGTGTCTATGCAAATTGGGATCAGCCCCTGAAGTCTCTTTGCACCACTTGCCACAGTTCACCACCAGATATCAGGGTAGAGTTTACCCTGACCCCGCTTACACTTGTAACACTCAGGCTACGTCTACACTGGCCCCTTTTCCGGAAGGGGCATGTTAATTTCAGAGATCGCAATAGGGAAATCCGCGGGGATTTAAATATCCCCCGCGGCATTTAAATAAAAATGTCCGCCGCTTTTTTCCGGCTTTTAGAAAAGCCGGAAAAGAGCGACTACACTGGCCCCGATCCTCCGGAAAAAGCGCCCTTTTCCGGAGGATCTTATTCCTACTTTGAAGTACTTTGAAGTAGGAATAAGATCCTCCGGAAAAGGGCGCTTTTTCCAGAGGATCGGGGCCAGTGTAGACGCTCTTTTCCGGCTTTTCTAAAAGCCGGAAAAAAGCGGTGGACATTTTTATTTAAATGCCGCGGGGGATATTTAAATCCCCCGCAGATTTCCCTATTGCGATCTCTGAAATTAACATGCCCCTTCCGGAAAAGGGGCCAGTGTAGACGTAGCCTCATTGTACAAGGAGTAAGGGAAGTCAGAGGAAGAGTGCTCTATTTCAAAATAAGTGCTGTGTAGACGCTCCCAATTTCGAAATAAGCTATTTTTAAATTGACATAGCTCAATTTGTGTAGCTTATTTCAAGTTAAGCCCTGCTGTGTAGATGCACCGTAAGAGGCGAGAGTTAAGAAAATCATCTTAGTTTAGTTATCAGTGAAGCATAGGGAAAGTTACAAACAGAAGAAGTAAAAAAAAGTTTGATAAGGCAAATAAACAACAGGTACTGTAACAGATAATACAATTGAAATATATGTTCCATCTAAGAAGTAAAATTAATTTACCTTTTTCTGTGTCTCAGGTGACTTTTTTCCCACTTTTGTTTCAATGCTTTTTTGTTCTTTGAGCTGTTAAAAAGAATGCCAAAAAAGCTGAGCAAAAATACAGATATAGACATGTATATAATGTAATACAGAGAGGATGAGGGAGACAGTATTAATTTAATATTACACTTCTTTGAAAAATGGCATTAAATTAACTCTTTCATTTCCAGAAATATTGTCGATAGTGTACAAAAAAAATACATCTTCCTTCAGGAATTACTATTTTTTTAAACAATGAAATGCAGCTTTATCCAGGTTCAAAGCAAAATGTACCAGTGCTTTAATCTATTACACTGAACATTTATTTTTATAGTTTATTGCCTATGAATAGGACTAAATGACTGACTTAACTATAGTCCACAATTTTTCTTGGAAAGATCTTCTTGAAATAAACTAAATAAGTTTAGTCCAAAAGTCTACATCTTCATGCAACTGTTTCTGTACACGTAAATGCTCCCCCGCCCTTCCACAAGAATAAAATTTTACTTTTGATGCTATGTCATGCAGCTGAAATGATCTACAGTATTATTTATGGGTTTCTGTAAAGGTGTGGGCTATCCCCTGAACCTCCTTATAATCTGCTTTGCAAAAGCATCCTAC